GTTGAATTTCGAACACAAAGTTTGTTTTACATCGTTACGTACGACACATCAGGCACAGTGAAAAGTCCTTTCGCCTTAGTTCACAATAACAATTAAATGTATTAATTCGGTTACCGGATTGTTACGAATATTCGAAAGTGTGAGTGCAAAATGTGGCAATACCGCAGGTGTCTATAATCTATATTCCTCTTTGGATTTGAAGGCAGGTAGAGTTCATTTACTAATGCTAGCTGGTTGAAAAGAAAAATATAACGTTAAGTGCTATTTAAATAGTGTATTATATTTATCCTAGCTTCGTCTAGGTAGGATCTAATAATGTAGTGTCAAATGTTAATTACATTAAGAAAATCAAAGAACATATATTTTATCAACATTTTTTTGAAATCTCTCAATTATACGTACAAAATATATTCTAGATCACTCCTGGTATTGGTCTTCATCTGTCCTGTTCTTCCGGACCATCCCTTCCGGACCGTGCGTCCGGACGGACAGGCAGGCAGATAGACGGACAAACATTTTTGAGTTTACTTTAGACCAGGGTTTCCCAACCTTTTTTGACCTGGGACCACTTTGATTGTTTTGTTGTCAGCAGGGACCACAAGATGAAAGAAAAAACTATGTTAATCTTCCTTGAACTATTATTTATTCTGTGGTTAATCTGACAATAAATTATAATCACAATTTTTAACATTATTATGTAATAAACTGCAAAGAAGCGTTCATTAAAAGTGTTATTTGTGTATTTATTGCAATTGCTATTAGGTCCTTAAAAATAACAACTGTGTTTTCATACGATTAGGTAGGCAAAATATTGAAATCTTTCCCGGACCATATTTAAGCTCTGGCGGACCACTGCCGGTTCACGGATCACTGATTCAGAATCACTGCTATAGACCATTATTGATGTCTTAATACGAGGGTGGATTGAAAAGTACTCGGCCTAACACAGATCCATTCAATTCTAAAAATCAAATCTACCCACATTATTTAGTTTAGTTCAGACTAGTTCATTGTGTGAAGTTCGAAACGTGTGCGATAATTAGTTGTGATTTTATAAATTTATTAACAAAGTAATCGGACATAATTTCCGCGAATGGAGCAAATCGAGCAGCGTGCCGTCATTAAGTACCTCCATAAGAAGGGGCTATCATCAAAAGCCATCCATGATGACATGGTCAGTACATTAGGCGATTGTGCTCTGTCATATTCATCCGTCAAAAAATGGATAGCAGAATTTAAGCGTGGTAGAGAGAGTGTGAAAGATGAACCCCGCGAAAACAACAATCAAAACAGTGGAGAAGACCTGGTTCACCATCCCCTAAAAAGGCTAAGTCGATTTTGTCGGCAAATAAGGTGATGGCTTCAGTATTCTGGGACTCGAAAGGTGTGATTATGATTGATTATCTTGAAAGGGGTCAGACCATAAACTCTGATTACTACTGCACCTTACTACGTCGTTTACGAGAGGAAATAAAAGAAAAACGTCGAGGAATGCTCAGAAGAAAAGTCCTGTTTCATCAAGATAACGCCCGTGTTCACACGTCAGTACAGTCAATGGCTGAAATTCACAACTGTGGCTTTGAACTGTTACCGCATCCGCCGTATTCACCTGATCTGGCACCATCAGACTTCTTTCTGTTCCCTAACCTAAAAAAGCACTTGGGAGGTCAAAGATTTTCGACAAACGACGAGGTCAAAGCAGCTGTAGACGCATATTTTGACTCTAAGGAAGAATCATTTTTTTTCAACGGTCTAAATGCTTGGAAGGGGAGGTGGCAAAAGTGTATTGAACTTGATGGTGATTATGTAGAAAAATAAAAATATAACTGATTTAGTATGTGTTTATTTTCTTGGTTAGGCCGAGTAATTTTCAATCCACCCTCGTAACACACAAATAACCTACTGAATTTAACAAAAAGCAGTCATTTCGATAATAAAGACAGACAAGTATATAAAAATATAGATATATACTACACGGTTTCTTCTCTGCATACAACTCGTGTGAGTATGTTTCACGCTCTTACCAATTTCTGTTGAAATTCAGCAATACAATAATCTTTATGTGCGGATTTCAAGAGCTGGGATAATTACTCAATATGGACCATTCCATTTTATAATTACAGAAAACACATCTGTAGCCTTTCGTTGGGTTTAGATCTTTAAAAAAATAGTACTACAGATGATATATGTACATAGTTGACCATTTTGATAAAGGATCCTTGATGGATGATGGATGATCAAGTTAAATAATTCTTTTCTTCTTTTCTTTTTTTAAAAGACGTTACCCCTACACTAGGATTTTCTCTTGTATCGTGGGGGCAGTTTACAGACATAAATTGCACAAGGACAAACATCCAGACCCGGAACAATTATTTGTAGGCCATACAAATACTTGATCCGTGCGGGATTCGAACCCGCGACCCCAGCGCAGCCACTCATAGCTAAGCCACTGCGCCACGGAGTCGTCAAAATAATTAATATGATTAGATACGACTAACTTGTGTCCATAGAAAATTTTCAATGTAAGAAATTTTTAAAGTAAATCCTTTCTATAGAAGTGTGGCCTTCTCTAATTTTCCTAAGTATAATGGACCTGATAAATCCGCCACTCCGCTTAGAAATAAATAATAAATGGTATCTGAAGCATTTCATTACTTAAACTAGACCTAAAAGTGAAGAGTTCATCAGTGACATTAGATCCGAGCAGACCAGCCCCGACCAGCAGCTTATGTTGACGGATCAGACACCATTCGCCCTCCTCGGCCATATTACAAAGAAGTGGACGACCCGTCATAGGAAGTAGCTGCAAGTTGAAGCCCTAAATTAATTATATATCCCGCAATCAATTAATTTGACGATCGGTTCGCGGGGTTGAATCCTAGCAAATTAATGTTAGTTCAACACTTAAATTACTACTTGTCTAGCCTGCGTATCACTTAAGCTGTGGACCGGCGGCCTGTCTGTCTGTATAGATTAGAATAGAATATTTTATATTCAATATAGATTACAGGAAACAATTGGGTTATTCTGTTTATTTACCATAACAAATCCACCTTAGGGTGGATACTTGAAGACGCGTGTCCGATTATCCACCCCAGACGGGGTGGATAATCGGAATTCGTGTATATTTTTTTCTAATTTTCTCCCTCGCCTGCGTATAGTCGTTTGTAGAAACATTATGGCTGTTTGTTAAAATATTTTTAATAATTATGATAGAATTATGGCGTTTGTGAAATACTATGAAAAGACATGGTTCAGGGACGAAAATTATGTGGCTGTTTGAAATTCATTCGTAGTGCCGCACAGAACTACAAATTATTTAGAATCTTGGCATTAAAACTATTTCAAATGAACTTAAAGACAAAGATTCAAATTTAGTAGTTCTTGGATTGCTTGCATAAAGACGCCCATTTTTTCGTTAAAACATTGCTGTTACAAAGAAAATTAAAAAAAAAATTGCAAATGTACTTAAAAAGAGACGAATTTATCAAGGATATACAATTATTTCAATAATAAAATTAGTGTTGGTCATTTCCTGAACATATTGCAGAATTTATACATTACTTATTATCATTTAAAACGAGGAAGTTTAATTTAGTTTAAATGCAATACATAATACGATTTTTGTTCAAGTTTGTGGTTATTAAAAATAATATATAATATGTTAAAGTATGAACATATTTTCTATTGAACTGTACTTGAGGTGGAAAGGCGGAGGAACAATCAAAAAGTGAATTCCGATTATTAACTCCGTCTAGGGTGGATAAACGCACACGCGTTTCCGTTTATCCACCCTAGGGTGGATAAACGAAATAACCCAAATAATTAAAGTCATTTAAGGGGAAATATAATCTCAAATGGCTTAGCAAGATCCTTCGTTATGCCGAAAATATTGCAGCATTAATTTTGAAATAAATATATCGTAAAGTTGAGGATTAATGTTAAGGATTATGTTAGACGAAAACACGATTCTGTAAAATTTTCTCGATAGAAAAAAAATCCAAAGTTACCTCCAAAATAAACAATGGACCGCTGTTATTCATAAAATAGTTTAAATAAGATCGTGAAATAATACTAGTTTTTTTTTTTTTACTACTTTTTAAATACCCGACGTTTCGGACGCTTTACAGCACTCATGGCCACGGGCGGGACTGAGATGTTCAACGTCCATATTATGTCATAGTTATCCGCGGTTACCATAGATTAAAATTTAACTTTTGTTCCGATTTATGCAGTATGAACTTATGGTATCTTGAAGTCTTGCAGTTGTATGCTTGGGTTGGGATTTAATTTTATTTATTATAGGATCCCAAGCAGATGGTAGCACCCAACCATCTTCTCTATTGAAATTAGGATGTTTTTTGATTTCAGTAGCCTCGCTATGTTCTTTAGAACTTCTTTAGAACATATAGCTGATGTGAAGTTGTGTTCACATAACTTTTACTTTTTACTTTATTTCCTTTAATTTGTTAAACAATTTTAAGCGAAAATCTAAAAAACTACCAATACGTAATTTAAAATTAAATTAAAATTTTGACGCTGTTTAGATTACTACACTATTATTTAGAGAATTTATTGAGGAAATTTTAGCGTGCAATAAAGACATAATATTTTACAAATAGATCGTTGAAAAATGTCGACGTTTTACAATCTAGTTGTGTGCCCTCTCATTATGATAGTGCTTCGAGCCGAGATTCTCCTTCAGAGAGACCCTTGAATCATATCGAGTCCCCCCTAGCTAGAGGAGCCTCACTCCAAAAGCAGGGGCTGGGGTGCTTCGGAACTGCAGTCGGAAATGCGGCGCTTTGCGCAGTGTCGCCGACGGTAGAATCGTTGCACTCAATAGCTCGTAAATCCTCGCTTACGAGTCTATTTCGATGAAGCTGTAAAGGCCGCAGGGCCAACAGCATTCAATTTCAGAAAAAATCTAGTTGTAAAAAGATCGAATTTGAAAACTTAAAATCTATAGACATATATATTTATGATTTTCTGTTACAAACCTGTGCATGTCTTAGCTGGTTGACGAGCGTCGAGCATCTCTCAGGATCTTTGCGACCATCAAACGAGTCCAACTCGGCCGCGACCATGTTGAGAGCGTCATCGGCAAAAAAGAACTGAGCTAGTAACGATCGGTCGTCTCTCTGAAACAAAGTAAATATTTATTAGTAATACAACAAAAATATTTTTATGACCTAGTCGATTTTTCTACCTTTTTTCTATTTTTTATATTTGTTCTATGTTTAATTACTATTTACAAAATATAAAAATATACAATTTATATTATAAAATAACAGAACTAAAACTAAAAACTTATTTTATCACCACCCGCGGTATAGTGCCAAGACCGCTGGCTGCATTTCCTCGCTGAACGGATATACTTAGTCTTTGAGCTAGAGAAAACCAGCCCTCTAATCGCCAGCGGCGACGACAAGTAGCAGACACACTTCTTTTAGGAACTTCACCGCACGTGGATCCCGCGGACCGATTGTCTTTATAGCAAATGGCACACATGTCTCAGAGATTCATACTTGTGCCACTTACTCAGTTTACTTACTCACTAGGTCGTTTCATGATACAGAGGCGTCTAATGCCCCGGCTTTAGACGAGATAGCACTGAGATGAGAGATTGCCTAAGTGCTAAGTGCCTGTAAATATCTATTGCGCTTGGAACACGCGGCCTAAACTACGCAGGAAGTAGTTATAGTTCCAAAAGCTACACGACTTCAGTTTACTTGATCTTTTGGGTCTTCTAGGTCTTGAACAAACATGGTCACTCTGTTACTACTGCGGATATCTTCATGCGACATGTAGCTCGAAGAACCAACAACCGATGGGAAACAAAGTTTCTTGAGTGGCAGCCTCGTACCGGTAAACGGAGTGACGGGCGGGCTCCCACTTGTTTGAGTGATGACCTGGTAAGTCATACGAGAAGTCGATGGATGCAGGTGGCTCTGGGCCGTAGTTTGTGGTCTCTTTGGGAAGGCTTATGTTCAGATGAGTTATTATAGTGTAATAATTGTACGCACTAATTAGAAATGCACTTCCGTCTTAACCTACTCGTATATTGAGGCACCCGTAAGTGTTTAAAACATAGCGCTTATTATTTTATACTCAAATAATGAAACACAGACATTTATTATCAACGTTAAAATTTCTTTGGGGCCTAAAACTGTTAGTCATTTACAACATAAAATCGAGTCTCTTAAGGAAATTTTTAAACAAATAAATGTATTGACTTTGGACTCTTAATATATTTACAAAAATGTAACAAAATAAAAAGTATAATAGTGATATACACTGTGTTAACACAGAAACCAATACAAGCTTGTGTTAATAATTTATCGCCTCCACAGTAGTAATTCAATAGTACCTAATTCAATCACGTACATGGGAAAATGTATATGCCATTACAACACAGTCCCAGAAAATATACAAGATCTCTCCGCTACAGTTTAAATATTTTATTACCTGCTGCAGCCTGCTCCATAGATTGCCTCATAGGGGCCAGCTATTCGTAGGGCGAGCCTAGTCACTACGAGTGGGTGCCACACTACGAGCACTTAACCCTATAGAGAAGTAATACATGCGAATTTAAAAGAAAACAATTTTAGGGTTAAGTGCTCGTAGGTGCCACACAAACTCTTTTAACTGGGCTTATCATTTTTGTTTAATATCTGCGAGACGCATCTGTTGGACCGTTTGAAGCCTTAACCTATTAAATGACATTATGTAAACGCGTTTGTTCACGATGACGTAATAATGTAAGCTTTAGCAACTTTCTAAAATATTGTAAACCTAAGAGCACGTTGGTTTTTAATTTTTTTTACGTACATAAAGACAAGATTCTGTCATCAAAGACGAAGAGTATGAAGATAGAAGTCAAATTTATAAGGACGTCTGTCTCTAATAAGGTTTATTGGCGGCAAAAGATTGTCCTTGTCTTGTGCGAGTTGGCGCCACAATACACTGGTACACTATTGACACCTCTCCACTCCACTTGACTATGTTGATCAACTTGCCCAATTCTTACTAATATTTGACACTAACTCAATGCTTTTATGAGCCATAAATGTTGCAAGCCTTTTCAATCGGGACAAAAATACATCTTGTATTAAAAACAAGTTTAATTTAAAAGCGATAAAATTCGTTCATTGATTTTATTAAAAACGGAGTAAAGCTTTAATTACTAAGCCTTTATCAAAAAAAAAAAAAATAGAAATGTTCAGGGTCACAATTAGTGGCATAGTATAAAAAATTGAGATAAAAGATAATGCTAAGTATCTCACTAAAATTTTGCAATTAAATTATGTTACATTTACAAACTTTACTTCTGTTTTAAAGTAAAGTAATTACAAACTTACATTACTTATAAATATATAATAAATATATTTAAAAAAAAATACTTTAAGTTTGTTTTAAGAATAGGAAAGGAATTACTTTTAATTTTACGTAAATATAACAACCTTGAATTAAAACGGATAAAATAAATTAACTAAACATATAACTTGCCCTAGTAAAAAGTTACAAGCGAGTGCACCTTCTGGAACACGCTACTAATAGCAGAAACAGCGTGTCGCTGACATCAATATCAATTTGTAAGTTTTCTCTACGGTTAATCAAGCCATATTATGTTATTGCTTCTGAATAGACTAATCAGACAGTCGTAATTCTTGATAGACATTATGTTCTAAAATAGGCTGCCGTTGGTTTAATAAAGTATTACGCTGCTCTCTCTACCAGTGTTCTGAATATTTCAGATTTGGCATACACGAGAAGTTAATTTCGTCATTTACCCACAAGATCTAATATAATTAAATATTTATTATATCACGTGAGTTGATCATCTCAGGATAAAAAAGAGATTTACATGGTACAGCCACGCTGCAACTATATTATAGTTGTAGCAAGAACGGGTCGGCTCGACCGGGCAGATCACGTTCTCACAGAATACCAACATAAAATAGCAGCTCTATGTTGCTGTGTTTGGTGTGGTTAGTGTAGAGAACCGGAGACCCTTCTTAATGGAAACGAGGCACTCCATCTTAGCCCTCACGGATGACAACGCATCTGCATTTTGATTCTTAATCGAGAATAAGTATAATTTGGATAGTTTGTGACCTATATATACACTTTCTTGTTATTTTAGTCTTTAATTTGCAACTAACAATATCTCTATTTATTCAATCAAATTAATTTGGGGTTGACTGATAGAGGATGCCATACTAGGCTTCACTAAAAGTATCGGGAATGGAATATTTCCATTGTTCCTGTCATATTAAAATCTTTTTTAATTGAAAACTCCTTGGTTTTAAAAATCGAATGCCATTTTTTTTGTTTAAAAAAAAGATTCTCGGTCATGTCACAAGGTTTTGTCAAACTTGTTTAGTCGTTGAGAAAATGGAATTGACTCGAGAAAATTCAAGAGCGATGATTTATTATGACTTTCGAAGTAGTTTAACACAAAAACAGTGTGTTGACCGGATGATTTCTGCATTTGGTGATGAAGCCCCATCCAAAACCACAATTTATCGCTGGTTTGCTGAATTTCAACGAGGACGTGTCAAGCTCAGTGATGATCCCCGTCAAGGTCGTCCAAAAACTGCAGTCACCCAAGAATATGTAGATGCTTTGCGTAAGCTGATTGAGGAAGATCGACATGTGACATACCGCGAAATTCAGGCAACTTTAGACATTGGCATGAGTCAAATACAAATAATCTTGCATATGTAATTAGTGTAAAAAAGTTGTTTTCCCGATGGATACCGCATTCGCTCTGTGAAGAGCAAAAAAGCGGCTCGCGTTACTTGGTGCGTCAGAACTCTCGAAAGAGAGAGATCCTAAAATGCTGTATACAACATCGTATCAGGTGACGAATCCTGGATATATGCGTACAAACCCGAAACAAAAAACCAGTCACGAGTTTGGGTGTTCGAAAATGAGTTAAAGCCAACAAAAATTGTTCGTTCACGGAGTATTGCAAAAAAAAAATGGTGGCCACGTTTGTCTCCAAAACCGTTCATGTTACGACTATTACTCTTGTGGGACAAAAAACGGTTAATGCAGAATGGTATGCTAGCATTTGTTTGTCACGGGTCGTTTCTGAACTCCGTAAAGAGAACTGCAAACGCCGCATCATCCTTCATCACGATAATGCGAGTTCTCACACCTCACACAGAACAAAAGAGTTTTTAGAGCGAGAAAACATAGAATTATTATACCATCCGCCGTACAGCCCCGACCTAAGCCCTAATGATTTCAATACTTTCCCTAAAATAAAGAATAAATTGCGTGGACAGAGATTGTCATCACCCGAAGAAGCTGTGGACGCCTACAAAACGTCCATTTTGGAGACCCCAACTTCCGAATGGAATAGTTGCTTCAATGATTGGTTGCATCGTATGGAAAAATGTTTCAAATTTCGCGGAGAATACTTCGAAAAGCAATAAATATATTTTTAAATAGTAATGTTGTGTCACTTCCTTGATTCCCGAAATTTTCAGTGCCGCCCTCGTAGAGCACAAAGTTCTCCCTTTGTTACTCATTGTTGAAGGTGTTTTTCAATAAAGGATAAATGAATATACTGTTAGATCTTTTGTTACTTCAAATTATAATTCAAATATTAGGGTTAAAACAACTTAACACGTATTGATCATGATCCTAGTATTATAAAAATACGTGGAATTATTGTATTATAATCGATACGTACGTAAAATTCAGATAATCCAGACGTCCAGAAGTATAATTTTATGCTGGTATGCTGTGAACGTGTGGTCCATCCGCGGTTGAGCCGACTGATCCCTGCTGCAATTATGAAATAACTGCAGCGTGGTCTTGCCAAGGGGAAATATAATGTCAAATGGCTTAGCAAGATCCTTCGTTATGCCGAAAATATTGCAGCATTAATTTTGAAATAAATATATGGTAAAGTTGAGGATTAATGTTAATGATTATGTTAGACGAAAACACGATTTCGTAAAATTTTCTCGATAGAAAAAAAATCCAAAGTTACCTCCAAAATAAACAATAAACCGCTGTTATTCATAAAATACTTTAAATAAGATCATGAAACTTTGCATACTAACTGAACTAACTATAAAGCAGTGCTTATGTTATTTACTTTTTTTAAAATACCATTATTTTC